GTGTTCATCTGTATCTCAAAACAGAATTAACGGAATAAGTTTACTTTTGTCGCCAACCAAAACATAAACTGTAACACTCCCTAACATGGAAAAAACATGCACCGCAGTTATTTACGCACATCCCTAGAGAAACTCCGTCGTAAATAACGTCAAATTCAACAGCTATAGCTTACCAACAAATCGGTCAGCCAGTCAGTGTGTAGCTCGCTTTTCTTCAAGGAGAACCGTAACCTACTATTGGTTCGTTCTTGTGTGCGTGTGTTTGAAATTCGAGGCTGTTGGTTTCCGTGTTGTTTGGTTAGTTTTTTCAACAAACGAAGCCAATCAAATGTTTTATGCTTGTGCTCATATTCGCAGTTTCTCCTAAAACAAATTTGACTACCATTGTATGTTCAAAAGATTTTGATTATTATCATTATTAATAGCAGTACGATGCATACTCAGTTACTCCAGCATCCCGGACAACTTGGCAACAATATATCATGCAAATGGAAAATGAAAAACGGTCTGGTCACCAGCCCGGTCGTCCAGCAGGTAACTTGCTTGCATTCTTGCTGTGAGGTCCCGGACTCGGTCCTCAGTTGGGTTGATGGATTGATTCGTACTGCTTATAGATGAGACCCAACCAGGTCAAAGCAGCTGTCCAATGATTCCTAGCTTTTCAGTTCATGCTTCATTTGCCATATAAGCGACGAAGTTCCCCTCTGAAACAATGTATATATATATATATATATATATTCCGGGTCTAGTGAAACTGTAATCGTAAGAGTTGTTACCTTGGGATGATTGACTGTCATTCGCTACGTCATATACTCCAGATTGCTCGAGGTTCTTTCTGTCCATGTCCGATATGCATCGAAATCGAGTTGGTTTTGAATGCGTGCGCATGATCACAATAAGCTTCAAATAAATTAGCCAAAATCCGATCGAATGATACATACAGTTTTGTAAGCACTAAATTTCAATGATGAGATATAAAACTCCACGCTCAAGTTAATTCGTTCAAAATTGGTTCCGTCAGTTAGGTTAACTTATTCATAAAGTCATGGTTTGACAAGCAAGATGTTATTTCTTAAGTGATTCCCTTTTTATCATTTATTCAAACACTTACGTAATCGGACTTTCATTCCTGGAAGAACTTCGGTACTAGTCTTCTGTTTGCTAAACTGTCAGTTGGATCTTCTATGTCTCATCTTGCGTATCCTGACTGAATAGACGGCTGCGGACACAAATGACCACTTCGGTTTTAGCCAGTCCGCCAAATTGTGAACGTTTGTACAGATTGATAAGGGTCAGCAATTGAGAGACTGACTTCTATAAAATTGCGAATGCTTTCCTTGGAGCGCGAGAGGGACAGAAGATGAAACCAAACGGAATAAACGGAAAAGAGTTCACCGACGCTACCGATATGGAACCAGCGTGTAGCTTCATCCTCAAGGTGCATCAAGCTCCTTGTGTCCTTCGATGACGCCCAACCACAGCTTCCTGTACTTTCGGTAGACAGTGGATGGCGTACCAGCCATCGTAGCTATCTTTCTCCCCCTCTGTGTAAGATTGAATTCCTTGCCCAGAAAGCGGCCCTGCTTGCACCCTCGGCGCACTGGTTTAGTCGCTGTCACTGAAGTGCTCTGGACCCTGTGGTCCGAGGTTCGAATCCCTTCACCCCCACCCAACTTTGGTGGTAAGCAGCTTTACTGTCGCCCGGTTTTAT